GGCAAGGCCAGGCTGTCCTATTCCCTCCTCTGGCAGGGGCCGACAGATCACCTACCCCGACCTCCAGCCCTGACTCCCAGGCCCTGATCCTGGGATCGGATCCCAGCAGGCACCCCCTGCACCCATGGGGCACCCCCGGGGCTAGACCTGACCCGCGGAGATCTAATGGCAGGATTGGGGCCCCGGTTTGGGGTGAGATGCAGGTTTATTTGCAATTTTTTTCTTTTTAAAGGGGCAGCAGCCCCCGGAGGGAGCCGATACCAGCCCTTGCCATGTGCCGGGGGTACCGCTGTCTTGTACCCTGACCCATGTCACGTGTCCGGGGCTGGCAGCCAAGGAAGTTCCACCATCTCTTCCAGGCACCCCGGGGTGGTGTTATTGGCCCCCTCCTCACTCACCACTTGTCTTTGGCCCTCCCCTGCATCAAGACGCTCCCTCACCTCTCTGCCATAGACCTAAATATCCACTAGTGCCCGCATGTCCCTGGCCCCTCTCCTTGCCCAGCCCTAGTGGAGGGCGGGAACCTGGGAGTCCCACTTCACCCCAGACGCCTTTTTCCTCCCTCGTTGCTTTGGCCAACAGTGTCAGAAGGGGCGAGTGGATACAAAGGCCTTGTTTTCCAGAGGGCCAGGGCTTTAAGGGGTCTCAAGCCGGGCACCCAAAACCAGGGCTCACTTTTGGTAGATCTTGTCCCTGGTCTCTGAGTCCCCTGTCCCCTGCCTCTCTCAGGAATGGATCCTGGCCTTGACCCTGCTTCTAATCAGAGCCGTATTCCTCTCTCAATCACCTCCTGCCCTGGCTATCACCGCACCTTTCATGGTCTCCTTTATCTCCACTCTGCACTTCAGAGGGTTCGGGATGTCGCGGCCCCACTGATCTCTGGCTCTGAGGACCTGTTGAACCCTCTCACCCCAGCCTCCGTCAGAATCCAATTCAGAATTGCCCGGCCTGGTTTGCAAAGCTTCCCAGACTAGTGCCATGCACCCTCCCAGACATCACCCGGTGCATCCTCCCAGACATCACCCCACGCATCCTTCCTGCTTGATCACACTGCCCTTTGACTCTCCACACCGCTTTGTCCTGCCGCCTCTCTGCCCTCCCTCACTGCAACCCCCGACCTCGGTCCTCTCCGATGCTCCAACCTGCCTGGTCACCTCCATGCCACTGCTCCCACCCACTCAGTCCAGTCTCAGCCCCCCCCCCCGTCCCACCATGACTCTCCTGAGCTGGAGTCATTGCCTGGCCGCTGATTTCTTCACCGCCAGACCTACCTTTCCCCCTCGGCTCCTGTGTGACTTTCCAGGAGGGGCCGGGACATTGTGTAGTAGGGACGCTGCCCAAAAATGAAAGGCATTGTGTTTATTTGGTAGTGAAACATTAGGTGTTGCTATGTGACTCTGAAATCCTTTGGCCCTCATGCAGAATAGCTTTAACTCTTCGCTGCCCGGTACCGGGCGCTCTCCTCTGTATTCTGCCCAACACACGCCTTCTCTCTTTGGGGATTCATTTAAGAAAGTGACAAACCCCGACACCAAATCTATACCTGTCTAGCTACCAAATCTAGCTCCCTGTAGCATTGAGTGTGTGAACAAACTGCCCTGAACACAGGGAGTGACTGCGGGTGTCAACTCTAAAAGAACCAACTCTTATGGTGTATGATTGTTTTGTGGCCGGGTGTGACGGAGCAGGGCGCGGGGCGGATTTGACCTGGGACTGTTGCAGGGGGGTTACATTGGGGATGGAAAGGAAGCTACCTGAGCTGTAACCTGAGCCAGGAGGGGGTTGGGAGAAGTGACACCTTCTGGCCTGGAGACTGGACAAAGGAGAGGAGGGGCAGAGGGGAGGGGGGAGAAAGCTGCTGGAGAGGTTTTTGCTTTCAGTTTGGGCTGGGTGGTGCAACGCAGGGAACCCCAAGCTGGGGTCTAAGCTCCCTAAATCCCCCAGAAGGACTTGATTGAGGGGTTCTGGTTGTACCTACACACTCTGCTTGGGACCGTGTTCCTGTCATCTAATAAACCTTCTGTGTTACTGGCTGGCTGAGAGTCCTGGTGAATCTCAGGAAGAGGGGTGCAGGGCCCTGACTCTCCCATACTCTGTGTCACCTGTATGTAGCTAGCTGGATCCCGACCAGCATTTGAGAGGGGAGCGATCACCTCCGCTTTGCCCTCGGATTTAGACTTTGTACAAACAAACCTTGTACAAACCTAAAGGCCTGTAGAAATGTTTCTATTCGTTAAAAAAAAAAAATCCGAGCGGAGTAGATATTTTTAAATGTATAACTGCTCCCGGAAGTGTTTGCAACCCAACAGTGCCCTCCCAGACCCCTGAGAGCAGTGACCGGGATTTCGTTCTCTTTTATTGGCCAAAAAAAGAGACACGCCGGGTGACCGAAGAGCAGAACTAGAGAAAAGCTCAATGGGTTTCTAAAATTCTTTCCTCTTTAATAATCTGAAGTGTTGTGTGTGGCCTAGGGAAGGACGTGTGTTACCGAGGGGTGCTTTCAGCAGAGCGTGTCCCTTTCATTATTATTGATCATTTATATTCCCATAGCACGTAGGCGCTCTTATCACAGACCAGAACCCCACTGCACTAGGCGCTGTTCACACTAGCCCAGAACACAAGTGGTTCCTCTTGAATAGGGGCAGCCTCAGGCAGGGCGTCTTCTACTTCCCCACGTGGCCAATGCGCCCGTCAGCGCGGCTGCGTGAGGGCAAATCTAGGACCATGCGGCAGGAGCTCCTGCCCCGGCACAGTTCATTCAGTCCAGCGTTGTGCTTCCTGCAGTTGCAGAACAGACGAATACGCCATCCAGCCCGCTGTCCTGTCTTCAACATGGGTCAGAGCTGGACGGTTTGAAGGAAGACTGGGCCGCCTCTCATGCCATGATTCACCTCGCTGTGAGATTTCCTCCTGTCCCCTCGCTGGCAATTATCTTCTGCCCTGAAGCATGAAGATGGATCACCCTCATGCTTCCACCCTAGCTTGTTTTGGCGATGATTTGTTTGTTTAATGCACTAGACCAGTGAGGAGAGGAGTGAATGGCCTTGCGGGTCTCTCTCTCACCTCACGTATTTATAGGGCTCCGCTCACCGTAGCTGCCAGAAGGTTCAAGGTGGACTCTGCTCTCGCCAGCCGTGGGTCACTGAATTCAGCCCTGAACCAAAGACTGGAGATGAGGGAGAGAGAGGGGAAAGGAACAAATCCAAATTTCAGGCAATCTGGGTTCCTACGGACACCCCAAAGGGGGTACCCCCCATAATCATGTCCCTGGGTCTCGCTAGGGTGGCAGCAAGTTTCAAGGGTAAGATGAATGGGGCGGTTCACACCTACTTGGAGAGATTGTTTCAGGCTGTCTGCAGACTCAGGCAGGTGTCAGTTACAGTCAGGTCACATGTCAAACGTTTCTTTGCAGCCATGAGGGTGGGGAACATTTTTTTTCTAGTGAATGCTGAGATTCTGATCTGGACACGAGGCACCAGGAGTTGGCACGAGCCTGAAGTGCTTTCGCCTTCCTCCAGCCCTGCTTTGGTGTCTGTTCGTGTGGACAGACCCTGTGAACAGGAGAGTTCTGCACCAGGACCGGTCCAGATGTTCAAGGGACTAGCCCTCTGCTCCTGAGGGTCACACCCCGGGCACCGCTCGTTCCTGTGGGCATGTGTCTGAGGGCGGGTGGCAGGGGCAGGGAGGTTCACAGCTCATTGAGGCCCCAGCCAGCTCCTCCCAGCCGTTCCCACTTCCCATCAGCATTGGCACTGTGCCACCTGGGTCGGTCATGTCTCCTGCAAAGGAGCGTTGCACCTGGGAGCCACTGGTGTGCTAGCGGCAGCCCAGGGCCTCTGCCAGGGTGCCGGGCATTTGCTGAAAGGGAGGGGGGAACAGGTGTGATCCTGGTCGGACGCCACATGGGAAGGCTGGCGAGGACGAGGGGTGGCTGCAATGCTCCTTTGCCGTGCCAGCCACCACCGGGACTCACTGCTGACGCGCTGAAGCAGCGTCAGGAGACGGGGAGCCGCATTGCTACAGTGGGTGGCCACAGCCCTTGGAGTGGTGCGAGGAAGTGCCCGGCAGGGTGGCCCCGTTTCCAGGGTCGGGCGTGCGTGAACGTGGGCTTGGGTGCAGGACGGCAGCTGGGGTGCCTTTCGCACTAGCAGTACCCGCAGCGACTCGAGGCCGGGCGTCGCAAGGCTGCTGTCTCTGCCACGCGGGCCCTGGCTCCTTGCAGCTCATCCGCGAGATGGCACAAAGAGACCCTTCGTCCAAGCAGCTGCGCCCCCGCCCTCCCTCCATCGTCCGGCCGCAAGGGGACTGACAAAGGTCAGCGGCTGCCTCAGTACCAGCTTCTCGGGGACAAAACCCAGGCAGGGGAGGCTGGAGACAGAGCTTTAGTGTTGAGCGTGGGCCCCTCTGCTGTAGCACTGTGGGCTATCGCTAGCCAAGAGGGGCACAGGGCTGGTGTGTGTAGGCTTCCTCTGGGCTTTCAAGGACTCCCATGGGATGAGAACACCCCACCTCTTCCTGCAAGCACCGGGATCTCCCCTGGAGGCCTGGCCCCGCTCCGAGCACTGGCCCAGACAGCGCCATAGCAAAGGTGCGTGCCCACACGCCCACGCATGCTCTTTGGGACCCCAGCTGCGACTTTGCCCTACGTTTGGGAACTAAGAGCCTGTGGCAGCAGCTATCCAGCCGACCTGAACGGCGGGGGGGGCTGGGGGGGACCGGAAAGTGCTCAGCCGCCGGGATCCGTTCGCTTTCTCTCAGGGACGGAGCTCAGCTCAATAGCGTCGCCCCAGGAGCTGGCCGCGGACCAGCCCGTCAGTTCCGAGGCTGAGCCACTGCTGAGCTCAGAGACCGTGGCTGGCTCTGGCTTGCTCTGGAAAGGAGATGCTGGGGGGGAGGGAGGAGATTTTCCAGCTGCTTTCCGGTGCAGAACTCCTGTCCTGCCACTCCCGCTCCCCTCTAGTTTGCTGCCTTTCCTCGGCCTGGCCCTCGGGCCGGCTGGCTGCCTTGCTCGAGACTCTGACCCTGCTCCTCTCGGTTGAGGCTCACGGGTTTCCCACACACCCCGTCGGCAGCCGCTGGATTTCTGGAGCTGGGCAGCTGCCGGTTTCCTTAGTGATGAGCTCTGTTGCTTGCAGCAGGGGCCTCCTCCCCGTGGCCTAAGCCTGCCTCCCCGTCTCTGGCCCTGCTCCCTCCCGTTCCCGCCAGCTCTCCGCAAGGCGCTGAGCGAGATAGCGACCCGCAGGCCGGGGGAGCCCTGGCTGAGGCTGAACTTGGCTGGCTCTCTCTGCCACACGCTCAGCCCGGCTCCCTCCCGCCTGCCTCGGTCGCCACCCCAGGCCATGGCCTACGCCGGCTCGGCCGTCCTGGAGGGGGACGCGGCTGCCTTCGCCGCAGCCGTCAGGAGCCTCATCAACAACCCGCAGTTCAGGTGAGCTGGGCCGGGGGAGCGGCTGGGCTAGGCCGGGGATATGCCTGGGCACGGAGGCTACGGCTGGTACTGAGGGTGGGCACTTAACTGTCCCTGAAATCCACCCTATGGAAACTCAGCCACCCTCCCTCTGCGCCCACTGCCAGAGTGTGTGCGGACACAGCCCTCTGCCCGGCCCCACTGTACCCAGCATCATTCCTGAGGGCCTCTATGCTGTGGGCTACTCCCTTTATTTCCGGTCCTAAACCTTTGTGCAGCGTTGCTGTGGGCCGTGAAGCAGTTGCCGCGTCTCATCCCAGAGATGGCTGCATTCCTGTGCTGGACAAAGTGCTCTGTGTGGGGCGGTTGAGAATTTCAGAGCAGCCTAGAGGGTTTAGACACGTATCTAAACATGTGTTGAGATCCCCTAGACTGCTTTGAAAATCTGTCTCTGTCTCTGTCCATGTAAGTTTGCAAAGCTCGCTGGGCTCCGTCAGAATGAACGGTGCTCTGTGAATGCAACGCAGAAGATGTTTGACTTGGTTACCACGCAGTGGCCGAGGACCCTCAGCTTTATGCTTAAAGCGAGAGTTGTCAGATGTAACCTCCTAGGGTAGCTGTAGTTAAATTGGCCCCCACGCTAAGAATATTATGCAAACTTTTGCAATTTCAATTCACTTCTTGCGAACCATTTGACAAGCCCGTGTGCGGAACCGGCTGGCACCTGAGGGCTGATTTCGCCAACCTAGGGACAACCCTGCGCTCTGATGCAAGCAAGTCACCCACTGAAATCCATTCAAGGGGGAGGGGATGGGGCCGTGGGTGTGGGTCTGTGAGCTGAGCCACCGACAGTTCTTTATTCTGGGGGGAGCTTGCGGGGCCCATCTGAGCACTGAAACCGAGGGGAGGGTGGAAGTCCCTGTGGGAGACAAGGCAGGATCTGATACTGAACTCATAAACGCACCAGACCCCAGACTTCCACCCTCCAGGCTCCCCTGCGGAGGGGGCCACAGTCTTGGAGCCGCTTCGCCCAGTCTGAAGAGTCACACTGTTCTCCTTGGATCTGAGAGCCGATACCATCACCTCCATTTTGTTGGCGAGAACGTCATCCGGATGAACCGAGCGGCTGCCTGCAGAGGAGACATCCCCCAGCGGCGTTGCTCCTGGCCGGCGAGCAGGCTGGAATGCAGCGACCGGCCCCGCCCTGCCAGCTCGGCGCTGGAGCACAGTGCAGCCGCCCCGTGACTGTTTTAGGGCACTTGCTGTCTGCTAGCCATGCTGGGGAGAGTTCAGAGAGGATCCAGGAGCCTGGGACGGCTGGTGAGAGACCCCGGCGTGAGGAAGGTGTGCGCTGCCACTGCTCTTTGGGTTCCCTTCCTGTGAAATGGAAACCGCCTGCTTGACGAGGGGGCTGAGGCTGTAGCTAGCTGGTGAGCGCGGGAAGCCAGTCGCATGCCCACGACTGTTTCTTTTGAGGAACTTAATGCCCCATGAACTCAGCCACGTCGCCTTGACTCAGGCCTGGTCTACACTAGACAATTAGGTCAGTTTAACTACGTCAGTTGGGGGAGGATGAAAAATCCACACCCCTGAGCAGCGCCGTTAAGCCGACCTAAGTCCCTGTGTAGACAGCGCTGGGTTGAGGGAAGAATCTTTCTGTTGACCTAGCTACCGCCTCTTGGCGAGGTGAAGGACCTCTGCTGGCGGGAGGGGCCAGGACAAGCTGGGATGAAGTGGGAACTTTCTTCATGTTTTGTATGAGTACTGTGTGTGCCTCAGTTTCCCCTATGTGCTGCTCAAGTATCTAGCTTGTGGGACAGAGGTGCGTGATTGTGGCAGAAACCCTGGTGGGTAGCTGCCAGCGCCCAGACAATGGCCGGACACTCTGTATCCTGGCAACTGATGGCCAGGGCCCATCCTCTTCAAGGAGCCAGCCGAAGGAGTTGGAGAACAAAGAGAGACATGGAGGCCAGGTGACCAGATTGCCTGGGAAAGAGACAAAGGATGGAGGAGGGGCAACTGGGCAACAAGCGAGTCGGTCTCCTGGACTGGGACTCGGGGGGAGAGCCGAGGGCTCTGGGTCCCCCCCAAGACAGACTTTGCTGAACCTTCCTGATTTCTGTGATAGCAAGACCTGTTCTACGCTGTGTTCCAGACAACTAATCAACCTTCTGTTTCACCCGCTGGCCGAGAGTCACTGCAGAGTTGGGGTGCAGAGCCCTCTGCGGGTGTGACACAAGCCCCCATCGAAGCTAGGATCAGCCGTGCACCCTGGTTCACCCGCGCCGGTGACGCCATGCTGACTAACCCGGCCGCCTGGAGCCTGGCCAGCCACCCCCTTGTCGGCAGGCCTTGCCAGCCCCATACTGGGTCACTGCTCTGTCTGGGGTCCCTGGACCCCCTCTTCTGCCGTGGGGCACAGGCCGAGCATCAGTGTCTGTACTAGACCCCGGAGGCCCTGAGCGGAGCCAAACCCATAAATATAGTTGCACCCACTCACCATTGGATAGCTCACGCCTCATCTCAGCATCGGGCCGACTACGCCTGCCTCCTGGCCATTATCTAGTTGTGAAGGGTCGCGGGTGCGGCTGGCGCTGCCCTGGACACGCCGCTCCCGCCCCGCATGGTCCTTCCTCCCAGGCCAGCTGGCTCTGGGGCCTGTGGCACACAGAGCTGGGAGCTGGGCAACAGATTGGTGAGGCAACAGGGGACTTGGACAGTCCCAGCATGGCAGGTATGATGCGGTAACCCGCCCCCCCGGGGCACCCAAGGAGGGCACCTCATTCCCCAAGTGCAGTTAGCCGGAGAACCGCTCCGCCCCAGCGCTGCTGCAGCTGCTTTGTTCAGCAACTAGAATCCCAGGGACTTGCTCCGATCCAGGGAAATCTGCAGTTCTGGTGACGGGCGACTAACAAATCTGGCTGGTTTTCAGCGCTCGAAAGCTGAGCAGGGAAGGACCTGTCACAAGGCCCAGTGGTGCACTGGGCTGAGGGCAGAGCCAGCCCAGCGGGGCAGGAGCGAGGTATACGGCATGCCCCACACACAGCTCCGCCCCGCCCCGGACAGGACTGGCCGCGGACAAGCTAAGCAGCAACCTTTGCTCCCGGTGGTGGGTTTCACCAGTTGGTGCAGCAACATGTCACTAAAATTGAAACCCAGGAGCAGCTGCTGTGTCACGTGAGCCCTGGTTTGTGCCGAAGGGCCTGACCCAAACCTTTCCATTGGCTTCGATCAGGCGCGACGGGGGTGTGTGCAAAGTCACCCCTCCCTGCGAGCCTTGCACAGCTAGGCGCCAGGCGCCAGTCCAGCCTCACTAGGGGCGGGCCCAGAGAGCCTCCCAACACCCCAGCACAATTGGCCCAACTGTCTCCCGCGGTGGCAGCTGCAGCGGAGAAGCCCAAGAGCTGAACGGGCCGCTGGGCGTGAGCAATCTGCTCCCTCCGGGCCCCCGGGCGGGGCAGCGCGGGGCGGGCTGGCCACTGGCCCAGGCCCTGCCTGCTCTAGGGCTGGAGAAGAGCCTCTAGTCTCTAGAAGCGGAGCGGAGCCGGAGGTGGAGGAGGAAGCTGGAGCCGCGGGAAGGAGGAGCTTTGTTGAGGCTGCTAAGGGAGAGCAGCGAGCAAGGCGTGCTGGGAAGAAGCATCGCCCTAGGCCCGTGCACCCAGCTCTGGCTCCGGTGCCCAGCGCTGCTGCTCGTGGAGGCCGTGTGGGGTGAGCAGAAGCAGGGTTTCCTCTCCAGCACCGTGCAGGGCTGCAGGCGGCTGCCGAAAGCACAAAGACAAACCTGCTGAGCTGGTGGAAAAATGTGGTTAGCAGATTTTCTAGCACCTCATCAGCACTTTCATCTGGGACCCAAGGGGCAGGTTTCTGAGCGCTCGCTTCCCCCGGCTCCTAGTCCCGCTCGCACCGGGAAGCTCAGGCCTAAATGCCGATGGCACGTAATGGAAGGAGGCAGCTGGAGCAGCCGTCAGCCGTGCCATGGCTAGGGACTGGCAGGTGATGTGAGACTGCCGGACCGGTGTCCTGGCTGGGGTCCAACCCCAGTCATTACAAACGCAGCCGGCATTGTCCGGTGGCCCCATGTTCTCCACTGCCTGGCCTCCGCTGTTGTGCCGTGTTGATGTGCGCTGCTAAACAGCTACTGCGTTTCACCCCAGAGGTGGCTGCAGTTTCGGGCTCCATGATGTGAGGCTGGCTTGGGAAGCAGCTTGGGATGAAATGTAACAGGCAGTCATCCCTTCCCCTGCCTTTTGCCCTGTCCTGCAAGGCTCTGCCCTGAGTGGGGGCCGGGAGGTGCCCTTTTGATTCCGGGGTTCTCTGTGCCGTGAGGGCCAGTTTGATGCTACAACGCGGGAGCGTCTCGCGTGGGGGGGAATGGGACGGCTCAGGCGCTGAGATACGGAGCTTGGCCCGTGTTGGTCACTCACTCAACTGCTCTGCCAGGCAAGAGCCCTCCGAAGGCTGCTCTCCCCTTGCTAAGGATGGATTTACACAGTTCGGCCTAGATCCTCCAGGGTATTTAGGCTCCTAATGCTTGTTGATTTCTGGGCCTTCCTCCCTGGCGCAGGCTCATGAAATACCCCCCAGGGGCCCAACTGGCTGCTGTCAGCCCGCATTACTGTCTATGGCTGCAGTGCACGTGGTAGGGTGCAGGATAGCACCGCTCGGCCCCGTGCATCGGGCACTTGAGAGACCTGGGCTTGATTCCCTGCTCTGCCACAGAGTCCCCGTGTGACCTTGGGAACGTCCCTTAGTCTCTAAGGCTGGGTCCCCAGCAGGATGATGGGGGTTGTAATATTAAAGCTACGCTGAAGGTAGTGAGGTGCTCAGAGGTGCTGGGGCCGGATAAGGACACAGCTCAAGCCACTGGTTTGTCTCAGGTGGCCAAAGTTCCTCGAAGGACGGGGTTCCAACATTCTTAACACCAGACCCGGGGGGGCCCGTTTCAATGAGTCAGGCGGCTTTTCCCAGCTGCTTGGGGCAGCCTCTGGCTCCCACTGCCTACCAGGAGAGGAACAGGCTGGGTTGAGTGAGACCGGTCCAGGGTTTGCAGTCTGCAGCGGGAGACAGGGACCGTGCTGCAGTGGCCTTTGCTGGGAGAGCCCAGGCCACTTGGGCTGGAGCTGCCGGAGAGCGTTTGTGGGGAGGGTGGACAAGCCCCATTCCTGGGCTCATTTAGACCTGGGCTGGGTGATGCAATGGAGAGAATATCCCAGGCTCCGTCGAGGAATGCAGCACGCGCTGCCCCTTAGTGCTAACAGGGTGGTTTATTGTCTGAGCATCATCTCTGCATTCCCAGGGCTCCAGCCTGTATCCCACAGGGTTGACTCAGCCTTCCAGCGTAGGCACATTGAGTCCCCTGCCGCTCACCCCTGTGGCATTTTGGCTGAGTCCTTGAAGCCCTGTCTGCTCTACACGGGTATTAAAGAGCCCACACTCCATCAGAGGGTAGCTTTGCCTTGCTGTTCTCGGCCAAAATGCCACGCTCACCACCCTTCCGCTGGCACACCGTGATGTGTGCTGGTGGTTGATGTCTTCCACACCAGAGGCAGCTGCATTTCATTATGGGTGTATAGATCCCGAAGTGCTTTGAGATGGAGAGTGCTCGGGGAATGGCAGGTGTGCTTGTGATACGCTGGCAGAGAGAGGGCCCCAGCGATAACGCTTGGAGATGGCAAAAGTCACTAAACACAGAACAGGCTCAACCCAAAAGCCAGGTCAGTAGACTCACCAGCCCCTTCAGGCCACAGCCTACACAGGCAGCCTATTGCCACGTCCCAAGTGCCTGGCGCTTGGGAGATTTGGGTCCTGGGCTTGGCTCCACCACAGACTAGGCCCAGACTTTAGGCCCCTCACTTCCATGTAAATCCTCAGGCCCCTTGAGGAGCTGCCCCTCTATTCCTTCCCTTCAAAGTGGGGACCATCAGAATCCTGCCTTAGCTCACAGAGATGCTGGGTGGATTGGCCCGTTGGCTGGGGGTGAAACGCCCAGATGCCATGGTGAGGTGGGCACAGGCGATCCTCGGGTAGAAGAATTGGCTCCTCCTGTGCGTTGTGAGCAGCGGCAGCCCCCAACCAGGCCGGCCCCGCTGTGCCACCAGGCAGGTGTTGGCAGCAGCACCCACATGCCGGCGTCCTGGGAGAATGGGGAGGTTGGAGGCGTTTACCCGCGGTGGAATTATTTGTCAGCATTTCTGGTTCTAGCCCGGCTGCCTGACTCAAGGGTCATGAGTCAAAGGAGGTAAAAAGCAGATTTCTGGTTCTCAGGAGCCGGACTTTCCATTCCCTGCTGCATGGAGTGAAAACCCCTCCGTGCAGGCGATGGGCCCACGGCACTTTCCTTTTCAGTTCTGACTCCACACTGGTGTGCAGCCCGTAGTTTTATGAATCTTCCAGAGGAAGTGGTTTACCTGCCCTACATGGAGTTTTGAACCAAACAAACAAACAATAGCAGCCATGCAAACAATGAGAACCCTCAGCACTTCCCGACCCGCTGCACAAAGCCCTGGGGAGGGGTACGCAAGGGGAATCTCCATTAGCTGCTAGCAGTACAGGGTCCGTGACACTTGGTTGGGCAGTTGAGTCCAGCCAGGAGAAGGCACCGTGTGTGTGTATGCAGGGACATACCCGCCCAGTGGGATGTAACCCCACCCCCATGGTGGGACTGGTATTTGTGGGTGGGAGGCGAGGTGGAGGGGTGAAGGCTGCATGTCCTGGCCTCCTGCTGGAGTCGATTTACTCAGTCACTTGCTGGGAGGCAGCACACGGATGGCTCTGCATGGAGGATGGGGGTTTAGGGGGTACATTGCATGGTGGGCAGGGATACTCTGCCTGGGGGATGGGGGCATCGGGGTACTCTGCATGAGGGGTTGGGGGTACTCTGCATGGGGGAAGGGGGTATTCTGTATGAGAGTAGGGGGTACTCTGCATGGGGTATTAGGGAATACTCTGCCTGGGGTATTAGGGAGTCAGGATACTCTGCATGGGGGAAGGGGTACTCTGTATGAGAGTAGGGGGTACTCTGCATGGGGTATTAGGGAGTACTCTGCCTAGGGGATGGGGGAGTCGGGGTACTCTGCATGGGGGGATGGGAGTCAAGATACTCTGCATGGGGAAAGGG